ATTTGGCTTGTGTAACCATTAGCCAATAACCCCCCCCCCCTTATCACTTGAATCTCCTCCTAGAGTACCATTGTGTTCTTTTTAACCAAATATCTCTCAGAGGGGCTTGGGGAGTGGCTCCTTATTTTCATCTAAAGAAACAGACAGAGAATCAGCACTTTTGAAACAGGGCTGAAACAGAGGGGATTATGGGATGCTACAATGATCTGTTTGGTGTTTGGAGTCAAACACTTCAGAGACATGTTTTGTATATATCTGAGACCTATAATATATTGATGAAAAACAGTATAATAGGGGACCTTTAATATATTGTACGCACCATTGCAAGTTTTCCCATTATATGTAGAACAGACCCAGTCGTGGCAATCACAGCGTGGACCGTAGAACTTCCCTGGATCGGTGGCCTCGCAGATGCAGACGCCGCAGTCACACTTGCCCCTCCCACTGCAGATCTTGCCATCAGGGGTCCGGCAGCGGCGCAGGGACGACTCAGAGGAAAACTTGCACACACCACCCACCTGGCTGGGTAAAAGAAAGGTCAGTTGTTATGCAGCTTTGGAAAATTCAGGTCGAAGGTCAAGTTTGCAGCACCTGTGTCTGTTTTAAATACAGTACCACTTCGTAGTGAAAATACCTTTGCTCACACGTGGCAGTGTTGGCTACCTTATAAAAAACGATATATAGTGCATTTATTACATTTGTTTTGTCGACTATAGTATTTATAGAATGGATATTCAAAGTCAGGATACCATTTTTTTCTATTTAATTTGAGATTTTGATGAAAAAACAGAATGTTAAGGATAAGCTAATAAATCAATAAATAAAACGAGACAGAAACAGCTTCACATTTCATTGAGCACACACCAGCAGCTGTTTCTGAGCTTTGTTTTTACATCATGGGATCTCACTGTGAGATGTGTTTCATTTGGATGCTGTCTGACATTCTTGTTCTAATCCTGGCTGAACAGTAGACACATTTCAAACAATCGACAGATCAAATGTCCCTGACACTCCCATGGAAATCAAATAAAGAATGTGTGTGTTCTATGTGCCATGGGGAGGTTATACAAGTTCCATTTCAGAGAAGCTTCAGCCACTGAGGGCTGTTTTAGGTTTGAGCAAACTGGTGATTTTTGAGTGTATCTGCTGATCAGGATGAATCATTTTCTTTTCACATTACAACATGACCTTGGGATGACTTCCAGGAGTGAAACTTGGCTTGGATTGTGTTTGAAACCACTCCCTGTCCTGTCCTTTATACATAGTGACTCCTGAGTAGGAAGCAAGCAAGTTGCCGTTCCTGGGGACTTGTTTGGTCCCTAAAGGGTCCAATAGGGGACAAAGCCAGTGTGGAGAACACATGTTTTTTAATTGTCTCACCGTAATCCTGCCTCTCTTGGAAGCATTTTGCTGTTGGATGTTGATTAAAACACTCCATAAATGGAAATTACATTTCCTGCAGTGGCTTCACCTGTCTTCTTAGAATTGCAGTTACAAAACATAACCTTTATTATTGTGTTTTTCCCACCTACTCTTTTTGACACAGCCATACCTGGTAAACAAATAAAGTAGCTATTATTTGGAAGTGCCTAATTAACACTGAGAAATAACACTTATCACCTGGATTCTCAGGAGTTGTTGTGCTGCTGTCTAATGTATGCTATAAACTGTAGGCCACACTATGACATATTATCTCTACACAGACATGATGCACCTGCTTGCAGAGTACAACCCCTCTGCAGCTGAGTTAAGATTCAATCATATGGGAACATTTACAGATCTGCTGAGTCAGGCTCTACAGTAAGAGGCCAAGGTAAACAGAAATTATTTTCCCACATTTTAGCCAATTCCAGTGATAGACTTACAGTATGTCATTCTTACCATTACAATTTCACATTTATTTCCAATCAAATTTAAAAGCTCCTATAAATTAATTGGTTTTATGGCATCAGGGGCTTAAGTGCAACATCCCTAATTTGATTAAAAACTCAAATAAATGATATGATACAGCATAGCACCGCACAGAAAGTTACTGAGTGCATTTAAGTGAACTTTTTTTTTTTTAAATTAGGTCTTGGGATTGCCATTCCTACTTTAATTTTTCGTGACTGCAAATTATTAAGTAAAATATGTTTTACTTTCCCAAAAGCTTCTTGTACCAAACCCACAACCACGAAAGCTGTCATAACATTTCCATGGCAGCTTGAGTGTGCAACTGAAATTTAATGAGTGTCTATGCGTTTAAAAAAAGTGCCAGTCAAACAGTCATTAATGGAAAAAAAGAATCATACCCATGGCATTATAATTGTTGACAGGTAAAGCAGCATTAAAAACCTGCACAAAAAACTGCAAACTTCATGTATAGTCTCTCCTAAACTTTCCCACATCGTACTCTCCAACTGCTGTCAGCAAAACTCCGCACCTCCCTCTCCCTTCTTGCTCTTTACACTAACCCACAATAAACAAGAAGAAATAAAAGCTGTGTAGAAACTCACCTCACCGATTGTAACAAAGTGTCCTCCACGGTAGTGAGCAGAATCAGAAACAATGGGACCAAAATGGATTGTACCAAAGCCTCAGTGTGCATGTTTAAATCCCAGAGAAACCTGAAGTAAAGTAGCTTGAAGGAATTTCCCAATCGTTCACTCCTTAAACAGACAGGACAGGAAGAGAGAGTGAGAGGGAAAAGAAAAGGAGAGAAGGAGAGTCAGAGCAGCAGGCTGGCCTGAACTGGCTCAATCCCTTCAGAGGCCAACAGTTCTCTCTATACAAGTGCCTTTGATTAGTCTTGACTCTCAGACACAGGCCTGGGCAGGAGCTGGAGAGGGGGAAACTGCCAAAATAAAAAGTTAAGTCACCAGTTTGAGATGTAATTAGAAGCAGACTGCTTTTTTTTTAAATGTTTTGTTCCATTTTCACCCTTCTTCTTCCAGATGATCTCTCTGTAGTGGTGGTGTTTTTTGTTTCCATATTTTCTTTTGATGTTACAGGCTTTTGCCGGAAGATATTTTGACATGTCACAATAGAAAAAAGCACAGGTGTGAATTATCACATAATTATGGAATCTTTGTTATATGTCCTGGGTCGAGGATTCTTGCTTTATGCATGCTTACAGTTACACAAAGCCTAGTCTTACGTGGACACTTGAATGGAAAAGTTATTGTTCTTGTTATAAATAATGCCTGTGTTTTTCCACACCAAGTCAAAATGGAGAGTCAAGTGTGCTCAAAATTATACTGCAAAATTACCAACAGGCATTTAACTCTGATCTTACATAACTAATGTCTTTGCAAGCAAAGTTGAGGGCAAACATTCAATTTCTGTAAGACTCAAAGACTGAATTACACTGTACTGTAATGTTTCAATCAATACATATTTTAAAATAGCAGTGGAGTTAAAAGAGCAACCTGCTACATTTAATAAAAAACGTGTTTTTCAAGAGAGACACATAAGCTCCAATATAGTCCGTATTGACTGACTGAAAACTGCTTTCCAAGGATCATAGTGTTTCTGAGGAATGCTCATTCCTAAAATGACTTCAATTAAACTAGAATGGAACTTTAGTATTCTAATCTGCTGCAGCTCTGCAATCTCTGGTTGTATTTGCAGATAAGGCTAACTAGCAAATCCATTCAAACAAGATTGTTGGCCCCTTGACAATAAGTGATACATATGGTGAATCAGAGAGAGGAAGTTGCACTTGTTTAGACCTTATTGCAATACACATTTTGATATCATAATGCAACAATAATATACATTTAAAATAATCTACATTTTAAAAAATTATTTAACATCAGCAATGTCTGCATCAAGTTCCAAGGACTTGTCCAAGGCCTATTAACTGATTGACATCACCTGCTTCATTTTAATTCTTTAAATGTGCATATCTACTGTACCACCCGGACCTCCTCCATGCCAAGATATGTTTATCGTGTATTTTTTTGTTAAGGTAGGATTACTTCCCACAGCACAATTCTCGGTGCTGCTTGCATTATTGAGAGTTACTGTACATGATTTAGCAGGGATTTTTCCAGAAAAAACCTGTGCAAGCATTTGCTACAAATTCTCAGTCCTTAAGCCATTTGTGTCTGATTTAATTATTACTATTTGTCAGCACTTTCTAACATGTTGGGTAAATTCTTGACTAAATTAGGTTCACATTTCATTTTTTTGTTGCAATTATTCAATATAATATAACCTCATAGGACCAAGATCACAGTTATTAAATTGTATTTTAAGGCGACCAATTATGTTAATGATTTTCCCAGACAACAGTGTGCACATTTTGTACTTTGGCAGCATTTAAACTGCTTGAAACCATCCGAGGCTGAAGGAAAAAAAGCCTATGAACAGCTGTGTCAACTACTCACAGAAGGCTTTCAATTTGCACCTTTCATCCCCCATACTCACTCTGTTCTGAGTTGACCTGACAACACTGTACTCAATAATTTACGAGGACTTCAATCAAAAGCATGCATAAATAAACTCATGCTTTGTTCTAACTAGGAATTTAAAACGATTTTAAGTTAAGTCAGGTTAATGTTGACCTGAATTGATTTACAATCGTTTTGAATAGTGTTGACAACACTATGCATAAAGCCCAATATGCCAAACTCCAAATTAGCTTTACAATGTGCACATAATATGACATCCTCTGTCTCTTGAGAATCATATCAATGTTTATGTTTTGTTAATGTCATTAAACTGTTATTGGGTAGTCTACTGTCTGAATAGTTGGCCCCAAAACAGTTATTTACAGTTAAATATACAACATTCGGAGATACACAAATAAAGGTTTTTTTGTCTACTTTGTTGTGATAGTGGAGTTCTTTTTTTTCGCCAAAATGTATCATTACAGTACTCAAACAAGTGGGAACAATCAACAAAAAAGTATATGGGCCAACATTGTGATGGAGCAATTTGAGGACCTTCAAACTGTTACCATGGAGACGGCTGCGCGCCTCCGCTGCATGCGCTGGAGCTGTTGATGTGATTGGAACCTGCGCGCGCTCCCGCACTCTCCCATTCGATCCGAACACACACACCCGGAAAAAACAGCTGATGTAATGGACAGGACGAGACACGGTAGATAAAGACAGTCCTCCTCTCGTAAGTGATTCAGTATGTTTTCCTTATGCCGCTGCTACACTCGTCGTGTGTGTGTAACCGGACGCACAGCTGTGGTGCTTTGGGGAATGCTACTGATGCTGCTGCGCTAGCTTGTTCCAGGAAGTGGACACATCCTCATCCTTTCGGAGTAGGCCTTGGTCCAAAATTGCCTTGTATTTGCTATACTATCACGTGGCCTCGTTGCCACATAGCATATAAGCTACGTTTAGGACCTACGCGTGCCCACATATTTATATACGCACTGTGTTTAGCTTATTTTTAACCAATGTAGCACCTTAGCTCTCATCCGTTTCCATAGTAACCTTGGCTCTGTGTCGGTGTCATTCATTCAGCTTTCAATCTCAGTATGGGTCTCTTGATTGATGATCAGTGGTTTGACAGCCATTTTGCAGGACGTGCGTATTCCTCAGCAGCTGGTTCTGTGTTGTTAAGGAGGGGGAGCAGTTTACCAACACTGTTTTTGTGTTGGTAAACATTGACCTAGTGAATACTGTGAGGCCAGGGTTAGCCACAACTGGAGCTTTTAACAAGATGCCCTGTATTGTTTTTGATTTTTCTTCAGTATTATGCCCACTATATCTTCATTTAGGAGATATTCATGAAATTTGCTGACATTTAGCCCTGCTGACAACTTAAGTAAGCTTCTAAAAGATTGTGAATAGCTGAAACCTCCTAATGCTAAATTGTGTTAGACCACAAGACTCTCACATGCATATAATAAGGTTAATGTGGTAATGATAATGATGATGAACAGTTGGAATTAAGTTTGCCACAGAAGGTATAAATTACCTGATCATTTAGTTACTTATTAATAGTTAGGGCTAACTGTTTGACCTTATACCTCAAAATCAATGAATGTATAGCCTATATTATTTTGAAGCTTTCATACATTATTATTATTTTTATATACACTATGGGTAAAATGACTAAATGTTATAGGCAAGTTGTCGATCTTACTGAAAATAATCACCCAAATCTGCAGTTCTCCCAAACTCTATGGAGCATTTAATCCTCTTTCACCTATTTGTTCAGGTTTTAGGTCCCACAACTTTACTGTTTGGCTTCCTTCTCACAGCTTTCATCAGTGTCAGACTTTTAGATGCACCAGGCATGTGTTTTTTGTGAAAATATTCTGCAACAAATGGCAAACAAACAAAGGTTGCCCTATTGACATGCATATTAACACCATTTAAAGTTGCAAACTGTCCTATTTTACGCATCAAGCAGACACAGAGCAACTTAAGCATTCATTTGGAGTCGTGTCTCTGGATAATTGATGAATATATTCCCAATAATAACTTTCATTTTTAGGTTTCTCAGTCTCTACTACCCCCTGAAAAAAAAATATCCACCATTTTGGCTCTTAAGCTACTAAATGATCTACTTTGGTTACTGGTTGGTGGCTCACTTTGTCTGTCTTCTGTTAGTTGCAGCGCACAGTGGGTTTAAAGAATGAGAGCATTTAGTCATAAAAGAGATACCTTCTGCTGCTGGAAATGAAGTTGAATGAGTACAGGTAACACGAAAAGTCACAAATGATAACTATCTACATGTATGGGTTTGTCACTTTGAGCAGAAACGTTCACATTACACTTAAACTTACTAATTTGATTATGTCACATATTAATTTAACTTTAAAAATAATCAAATATGTTCATTGTTTCCCACATAATTTGATTCTATTTGGCAAGAAAAGCCAAAGGCCCCTTAACCTATTCGGGTGGCCCACGCATCCACCCTCCCCCCACCCCCCTCAAATAAGAAAATATATGCAAGTTCATGGCTACTGTAGCAGACAACGTTCTTGTTGCTCTGTCTTGCGTTGTTAATGAGTGAGACACACCGGAGTTGAGGATCTGTAGGGTTTATTCTCCCAAAAATATAATTTACAATTTAGGCATTTAGCAGACGCCTTATTCCAAAGAGACTTACAATGACCAATTACAGGGACATTCTCCCTGGAGTAACTGAGGGCTGTGTACCTTTTTGAATGTATCGATCCTTTCAATACATTTGAACCAAGCGCGCCCAATTGATAGACACTAGTTCGTCTAAATCCCTAAACTCCTCTCCAAGGTATGGTACAGTAGAGCAACAAATAACTGTAAATATTTTGATGATACTGCCAGAGTCCACTCTTCAAGAATATAACTTCAGCAAAGAAAGTTTGAGAATCCTACAAATACTTACAGTTACAATGAATGTGCTCAGTGGTCGCATCCTGCCCGTGAGGAACATGTCTTCACTCCAAATGGGAAAGTAATTGCAGTCTTTGCCACCTATACTCCCACATAATAGCACTTAGACCCTGTAATTTAGTTTTCACTCTTCTTCACGTCTCCATCTGCATATGTTAAGTGTAGCAATTACTCTGGAAAGTTGCTCCTAACTACATGGGGTTTATATAGACACTTTCTTTTCTTGGTAACAGCAGAAAAGGAAACGGGGGTTATACACTTTGATTGTTCTTTCTGCTTTCTCATCCAAGTTTTAAAGCTCTTTTACTTCAGTTAGTATGCTTGGTTTACTTTTTAAAAGGTGATCAAAGGTTTTGCACCATTCCGTTTTAATCACTTTGTTTAAAGATCATTATTTATTTTTAAGTTTTTTAATTTAAAAAAAGTATACATTTCGGTGAGTTCGTATGTTCTTTATTTAGGTAATATGTGTGTTGCATGTGTACATGTTAAGGTTTTTGAGTCGCTAGATGCTTATGCAAAGAATTCATCTAAAACCTTGGTGCTCATGATGCAGTGACTCATTCATCAGGGTACTAGGAAATTGATGTATGTTCTTTTTCTAATTCTGTGTGTTATTTGTTATGCCATCTACAACTTGCATATATACTGTTTGATTAGATATGTTTACTTATATGTTTAATTATAAGTAATTATACTTCTGTGCTGTTTGATTGAAGCATTGGTCCATCTTAATAACAAAACACACAATGTTCTCAAATTCATATCTAGCCATTCAGATAGTTCAACATTGCTTGAAGGGGATTGGCATTGAGCCTTTTTGTCTGTTACTCTGGATAAGAAACATTACTTTTTACAGTTTTTAATTGAACTCCTCTGCCAAAGAAAACCTTTTGGCAGTGTTTGCTGTGAAATACCAAGAGTGAAAGGGGTATTGTTTCCATAAAGAGATATCATCAAATGTGTTGAGAATCCTTCAGACATTTTATTGGGGTGGTGCCAGTCAGAGAAATCTGATAAAGATATATCAACAAACATAACCAAAACTATCAGCATGGCTACATAACATTGGAGGTTAGAGAGAAAATATGTTTTATCCTGCATAGATGTGTGCTGAAGCTGCATGTTGGAGCACTTGTGAATATGTTCTCTCACCCCTCTTTACACTCTTATGACTGCTACCATTCACTGACTGCTGCCACAGGACCTCCAGGCCTTTAGGACATTCTCCCTTTTGCATCTCTAGTCTCTCTCTCTGGTTGGTCTCTCCACCCCTCTGTGACCTGGGGATGAACGCACCAATGAGGAGCCTCACAGTGAGTCGCCTGGTCCTCCTCCACCCCATCTTCTCCTTCCACAACACCTCACTCACTCACTCACTCACTCAGTCACTCACTCACTCACAGAGTGTGTCGCATATATGCCTTGATGTCAGATGTGGTGGGCATTCCTGTCTCTATGAGCATACTGTAGATGTGGGTAGTGTACTGTACACCATATGAACCATGATGTTGACTAACTGTTGTGTGTCATTTACAGGGTATGCCTGATCGCATGTTATGTGCAGTGCTGGAGCAATTTCAGCTTTACTTTTCCCTTTGGTATGTGCGCTTTGTCTCCATTCAGAGTGTCATTTATTCTTGTTTTCTTTTGTTTAAACGGCCTGTACACCTTTCTTTTTCTGCATACACATGCACACTGACACACACAAACATGAATATGCACAGGTAACAGCAACACACACCTCTCACATTCTACAGTAGGTTGCGCAGCATAATCTATCGGTGCCTTGGTGTTTAATATGATGAAGATCATGTATGATCTTTCCAAATGGTAAGTCACTGGAGATGTGAATACACTCTTCCTGTGTTCCATGTGGGCTACGTTGTGTATCACGGTGGCCATTCAACATGTTTACTTTAAAATTACAAACCTCTGTTCTGGCAATTCAAGTCAGGGTAGTTTATTTTTGCTGGATATATTTCAGTATAGTGAAGCTTAAAGCTACATGTAATTATGTCCAGAAGCAACTATTGATACACATGGTATTTAATTCCTAAATATTCCATTTCAATATTGGTTATCAGTTGTTGAGTTACAATTTTTATTCGAAAGTGGACTGGTATTTCAAGTCAGTCGCTGTTAATGTGGCCAGCCAAGTGCCTCTGAGCTGCTTAAAGTATACATTACAAATGTATTTATTTACATAATAACATGATTGAGGTGAACGTAAGTGGTACGGACACTGCCCAGACTTGGATGCAGCCTGACTGTTCCCCTCATTGAGCTTTATTCACTGTTTGGTTGGCCTCCCTCTCTGTCAGATCCACTCTCTGTATAGCACAGCTAGCCCCAGCATGCTAAAGAGGAAACAGAGCTCACGGGTCGAGGCCCAGCCCATGACCGACTTTGGGCCGGACGAGACCCTGGCAGACAGCGCTGATATCTTCTGGATCAACAAACCAGTGAGTGTACTCCCATGTGAGGCTAGGGTCAGCACAACACAATGTTATTTCTGTATCATTCTTGCCAGATCATTTATTTGTTTTTAAATCACACTTGTTGATTTACTTCCTTTAAAATGTATTGCGGGCGTACACTAATAGCTGGACAGGAAGGGAATAAAGCAAAGAAATAAAGCAATGTTTTTCTCTTTCCACAGTGGGTTCACTCACTGCTGCGGGCCTGTGCTATCATCAGCGTCATTTCTGTGTGCATGAACACCCCAAAGACGTTCGAACATTACCCTCCGCTGCAGTATGTGACCTTCACACTGGACACTCTGCTCATGTTCCTCTACACATCTGAGATGATCGCCAAGATGCACATCAGAGGAATCATCAAGGTAGCTAATGTCAGAGTCACATGTTCACAGGAAGCACATTCCTCAAATACAATTATCAAGATAAACTTTATTTTCTGTACATTCTACATTCCAAATAATTAGCTGAAAAGAGGGAAAAAAAATACATCAATCTAGAGGAAAACGTTTTCATTGTGACTTAAGTACGACACATTAAGTCCTTCTTATATTGCACACATTTCAGCAGAGAATATTTAATTATGTTTGCCAAGATGGGATTTTTATATATACAGCATGCAGGCAATCGTAAATTCTGTCCTTGTATCTGTGTGTAAAAAAGATAATAAAAAAAAGGTATGGATTAGGATGAAACTTTATGTAAAAGTTATGGGACATTAAACGGATGAGCTAAAGTGTAACTGCCAAAATGAGGCGGGGAACTGGCATGGCACACTAAACTAAATCATACATCACCATCCTAGTTTATGTGCATATTACCAGAAGACAATTTGGGGACACTGAAGTGCTCATTTTCCATTTAGAAATAACCGCTCAGACCGTTTTTGCTAAATGTAGTGAGCTGACAAAGGTCTACTGCACAAATTGAGACCTGATAGAGCACATGTTGATGCGTCAGATTTAAGTGACACTTTATATTAAACCTTATTAGTTGTTGTTTTGAGCTGTAAATTCAGATAAATCAACATTATTCAAATTTGAGGTAGATATGATGTTTTATACAAGCATCAAGGAACAGACAGCTGGCAGATGAAAGGCCCATAATTACTGCCATAAAAAGAGTGGACAGCTTAATTGGCAAATCAAGGATAACAAGCAGGGAGGCACTGGAGGACACAGAATTAAAATCACCAGTGCAGGAAAACATCATGACAACTGGAACATTTTCTTTTCTTTCTTTTAAAGTTCCTTTTAGCTCTTAAAAGCAGATAAAACACAGTCCTTTTCTGAGCACTTAATATCAAGTATAATTTAACTTGTGTACAGTCACACATTTGGATTTTTAACTGTGTTTGTAACCTAGTTGATTGAAATTTGGATGTTTTGTTCCAGCTAGTTGTCGCACAAAACAACAGATCCACACAGTGTTAGAGTAATTGCATCCTTTTGTTCTTGTTAGTCTGTAATCAAACATGGTTGAGTGTCTCAGAAAACACCCTCCTGTGTGCAGCCTTTTCTCATGAGCCCTAAAAGCGTACAGAATCTCTCTCTCTCTGTAAGTGGTGATTAAGTATGTCCAATTTGGCTGTTCCTATGACATTTCAGTTTGTTTACACTTCATCATTGTTTTGTTTTTGATGGAATAAAGTGGTCAGCTTGTCATAATGGGCACCTTTAATTCAGATTACGTTGATATATGTGATTTCTATCACAACAAAGGCTTTCTCTTAGATTCTTAGAAGAATAATTTTCAAAAACCATAGAGGCTAGCATTGTTAAAGTCTTAAAACATCACAGAATGTCTTCTAATGGTTAGAATACATCAGCTTTTCGGAAAACACGGCCCTTTGATAGTGATGATAAATGCTGTTATTCCTTGCTTTTGTTCTTCTGTTGCAATTGTTCTCTCATTGTTGGCTTTGTGTTAATGTCTCCTGGTTCTCTCTTACTTTCTGAACAGGGGGATAACTCCTATGTGAAGGATCGCTGGTGTATGTTTGATGGATTCATGGTCTTCTTCATCTGGGTGTCCCTGGTCCTGCAGGTATATTGCAATATTTACAATTAGAGGTTTTTCTGCAATTGTTTTCCTTATTTTCTTCCAAGTGCTAGCATGGTTTGACATAAGGAATTTAATTGTTTCAGCTAGTATTTTTTAATTTTTTTAATTTATTTATTCTACTAAAATCATACAAAAACAAAAACATATAATTCATACACACAAATGAACCAAATTAGTAGAAGCGGGAGGGCTGAAGCATAGCTTATGGGGAGTAGCCCTCCCATGCATCATCATTAGCATCAATATAATAATGGCATATATTTAGTCAAAAACGTATAGAAATTAAGGAGTATAAAGAAAACTAATGAAAACTGAAAAAAATAAAAGTTAGGGCAAGAAAAAAGTAAATGCATATATAAGTAATACTGGGAATATCCAATATTTGTTAGCTGGAATAATGTGCAAATATAATTGTTTTTACTTTAGTTTTGAATTGTTGATGACTAGTAATACTTGAAAGGTCTGGGTGAAGTCCATTCCACGTTCTAACTCCGATTATGGATAAGCTGTGTGATTTGATGGTTGTTCTATAGGGCTTGCTACACTGTATTTTCTTCTTAACAGTTTGTTTCTCTTTGTTTAAGGTGTTTGAAATAGCAGATCTTGTGGATCAGATGTCTCCATGGGGAATGTTGAGGATCCCCCGAGCGCTCATTATGATCCGGGCCTTCAGGATCTACTTTCGCTTTGAGCTTCCTCGCTCCCGCATCACCAACATACTCAAGTAAAAAAGAACTCCATGAGCATTTTTCTTTGCTATGGTCCCTTTAATTAATTGATCATTTTACATGTGAAAATATTACATTTTCCACTCTTTTGCTTTGCAGGCGATCTGGGGAACAGATCTGGAGTGTCTCCATCTTCCTGCTGTTTTTTCTCCTGCTCTATGGAATTCTGGGTGTTCAAATGTTTGGAACATTCAACTTCCATTGTGTCATCAATGGCACAGGAGAAGGGTAAGAGCCACTTACAGTACAGTACAAAGAAGTGAAACTTTTGATGCCTTTGTTATTACTTGTTTCAACTGAGCAACTATACCTTCCTGTCATCCTTTAGCTTTTTATTGAACACCTTCAAATACCTACAGTATGATGGAGGCTGCCTTTCCCTGCTCTAATAGAGTTTTTATTTACTGAAGCAATAATGGTTAACGAAGATCTTTAAGAAGCTAAAAGTGAAATACTATACATTGAGTGTCTTTATTATTACAGTTTATAGACTAGGGCCGATATAACTGCCAAACATCCAAGCACTACACCATTGTTAAGGTACCATAAGTTTCAGGTGTACATTAACCTGAATGCTTCTGGGCATTTATTTTTCATCACAGGCTATATGAGATCATTAAAAAACTTCACAGGTAAGCATATTTGATCATACCATAAATGGTCTATGAATACAGCTACTGAAAACCCACTAAATATACTTTAGGCTCACTCATCAGTGTGGAGGATTTCCCCCCCGTAGGCTTTTTGCAAGTTTATGTCACTTGTGAGTTGCTGAAATTGGTTTGCAGAGGTGGTAGCTTGTTTTACATTCCGCCTATGTGAAACATGGTGTGCACAATGTAGACACTACATTAAATTATCTGAAACTTTTAAAAGAAAAAGTTTGCCTTGCATTTTACCCAGTTGACTGATTCCATATAAAATATAAAATGAAATATATGATATATACCGACAGGCTCTTTTGTTCCGTGCCTGTGCTTGTCCTGTCCTATCATGCAACTGTATGTTTTAAGTCAGCTTAAATACAAAGTGTACATTCATTTGCTTTTATTGGCCGATCTGCACTTGCAATTCTTACATTTGAGCAGTTGCATTGTTTAACATGCAATACATATTATAGAAATGTACAGTGGCTACATTCAGTAGCCAACTGCTCGAATACCTTGTTTACTTTGAGCTAAACATATTATAACAACAGAAATGACAACATCTTCAGGGCAGGATGGGTCAAAAAGTGATGTTATTCATTTACAAAAATGAATGAGGTTAAACTAATTAATTAAACAATTTGACTGAAGTTAAATCAAATCACCAGTATGGTAGCGTTGAAATTCTGTAGAAACCGCTGAGTACCAGCACTGGGGGAGATGTGATACTGGTGTGACAGAATTAACATTGCTTTGCAAAATCAGTAGTATTTAAAAACATTTGTGAAGGATTTTATTTTGAGAATGATGATATGATACAGAAAACAGGCATCCCTATGGAGACAAAAGATGTGAAAAGCCACCATCATGGTTAATGCCCCCGGCTGGAGGTAGAACTAAAACTCATTAAGATAATTACAATTTCCTACATTGTCAATAACCAGCCTTTGTTCTGTATTCTGCTAATTTCTGCTCAACAGTTACCCATATATCTCTCCTTACCCAGAGAGTGCCTAAGCACTCAAGGGACATCACACACATTGACCATTAGAAGCTGAAAAGATGGCACATGGCATTGTTACATTTATAGCTCTGACGTAGTTCTTTAACATCATTCCATAAGTGGCCTGGCAGCTGCACATATCATTTGTTTGCCGCTGTTCTCCTTTTCATAAATCCCTCGTATATACATGCTCCTGATGGGGTATTTTAGAAATATGTCACATAAGGACTGATGTGCCTAATCTCTCTCTGCCATATGCCTCTGGCACAAAGTCAAAGCCCACTAGCTTTTCACATAGAAGGTATTTATAATGCAAATTGGGTAAAAATACCAGGAAAGACATTTTCTGATATTGATATTAGACGACAAGGGTTTTTGATTTGTTAACTAAGTATGATCTCTTCCTCTGGATGCTGCGTTGTGTTTTTTTTGCTTGAGGATTATTCTAAAAAGGCAGGTCTTGATTAGACATTTTGAACCGATTAATATTGACACTTTAGAGAGTATAAGCATATCCTTGTCACATAAAAAACATGTTTATTCCTGCTTATTTGTTTTTAAATGGAATGGAGAATTTAGGAAAAGGATGTTGGGAATTATATATATTGCTTCATTTACTAAACTGAGGCAGTGGAGCATGTGTCATCAAGAGCAAGAGGTGTTTTAAGCCATGGTGGGCAGAGGTTGTTGACATGAACCCAAATTATTAATTATGCAAAGCATTGCACATGCAATTTAGTTTGATCAAATAAGAGATTCAGAAAACCAATTATAAATAATGTCTTTGCATTTCATTTGACTCACCAAATTATTAATATCACGTTATGACTGGACATTTGGTCTCTCATTTGATGCCTCATTTATCTCCTCTTTGTCATTAAGTGATTTATTTGATAAGATACAGTTGTATTATACAGCCCAGCATAACACGCTTTATCTGATTTATTACTATACCTCTGATTGCCCTTTGTGATGTGTGCAATAAATTATCCCTTCTGGTCCTTTACCCCTTAATAAACAATTTGGATGAATGTCTGGGCAGCCAATTTGAAGGCATTAATTTTCATTAGAGAAATCATGCAGCTCCTGGAATAACACCTGAGGCTAGAAGACAGGGAGACAGAGAAGGAGGGAGAAGGGCAGTGTGTTTGTTTGTACAGGCAGAATTAATCTATGAGTCATTTGCGTGTTTCTCTTGCTCATAATACATATATATTTATTGTAACCAGCCATAAATGTTGAACCTTAGCCTTGAAATCCCTGATTTTATTATAGAGTTAAAGGTGGGGTAGGTAATTCAGTTCAGAAACACTTTTTGTTATATTCCATGGAATGCTCTTAACATCCCGATAGCAATGAATATATTAAATGCTTTGACAATAATTACATTAAAACATTTCATCTGTGGAAGCTTTGGTGCTGTAAAAAGCACGATCAATTATTTTAGCCGGCCCGGCTAAAATAACTGGATGGCCTACCTTCCTGTCAGCCTTCCATCTCGTGCACAAACTTATCTCGTGCCCTCATTGGTCATGTGCTCGTCCGTGTGTGTTGGAGGAGGGGCTCTGTAAGGAAGTCTGAAGGAAAAGGAAGATTTTTTGGTTTTACATTATATTCCCTGTACCAGTGATATAATCTTCCCTAGAATCGATGTTAATAAGTGTATTTGTGACAGTCAAAGTGTGTCTGTGCAGGATTTACAGCAGGTCAGGGGGAGAGAAGAAATCATTGAATACATTAGACATCTACAGTGCCTAAGGTACTAGCAGTTAAAACAGATCAAATGTGTCATCACTAACAACGCATGATATATTTACATTGTTTAATCAGAGTATTAACAATAATCACTCAAAATAAGCTTAAGTAGGCACATAGAAACAGCTGTTTATTAGCACATGCTCTCTCTCTCTGAAAGTGCATCCACTGCTATATGTGGGGCTAAAGCATGGAGGCAGTTTATGAACAATCAACGTGTTTGCATTGGGAGGGGAAAAATCACCAACCTGAGTATTCTGGTTGGGAGGCGTCACTCAAAAATGCTTGTGAACCACTGCATTACATCTATGTTTTCATTGCATACATATCTTTTGATAAAAAAAATGTCCCCTCTTTCGGTCAGTAATGTGACCTGGAACAGCTTGGCCATCCCAGACACCCATTGTTCCCCCGATGGAGAGGGCTACCAGTGTCCTCATGGCTTTGAATGCAAAGATCTGGAGAAGCTGGGACTCAGCCGACAGGAGCTCGGTTATAGTGGCTTCAATGAACTAGGTATCCGCCATACACCCACACACGTAATGCATTCAAACACGTACACAAAACTCTCTGGTGTAAAGCTATGGCATTCAGCAGCATCCTGCATTCTTATCAGCTGAATGGAGCTCCAATCCAGCGTCAGGGCACAGTGCAGTGCCTCTAATCTGTAGATAGCCGTGAAGGAGAGTGAGAGCTTCACAGTAAACTATCCCTAATTTAGACATTATAGAATGGAGCATGGAACACTCAATTCAATTTATAGCCTAAATGTATTTATCAATAGACTTTATAAATATGGCAAGGCAAGGCAAGGCAGGGCAAGTTTATACGGCACATTTCAATGCGAGGCAATTCTAAGTGTTCACAAGAAAAACATTAAAACCATTAAGATATAGTGCAACAGAACCGCAGTATAAAATGCAATTTAAATGCTTTATAAAACCGTAATTAAAAAGCTCCAAATAGTAGCTTTAAGTTTGAAGCTACAGTCTATTTAAAAAAGACATTATGTAATACATTTGATTATTAATGATTGACCATCTGAAGTAATTTATTGGAATGGTTTTATGTTTATGAAGCAGTCAGATTTAATATATTTATTCACATCCACACAGGGGAAATTAATTATTCATATAAAAACCTAGTAACTATGCTATATCAGTATCGCCCTGAATCACAGAATCCTAGAGACCGTTATTCAGAACCATTAAAATGATGTTAAAACAATGACATGAGCTGCTTAATAGTTGAATTAGGTAATTCTGTATACTGTTAATGATGCACCAGCTGTTTGTCAGTTACCCCTGACAGCTGCTGTCAGCAGCTGGTTACTTCACTGCAGAGGGTTTCAAAGTGTGAGGCTGGCCAACACATTGGGTCTACAAACAGTTTCAGGGGAAGCTTAATGACTGGATGTAAAACAAATATTACAATTTCAATAGTTTTCAAAAGAAGATTGCATAGCATAGCCTACATTTCTGTAGTTAACTAATGAATGCCTTAGGACTGGCCTTTTTTTTTTTTTTTTAAAGTATTTGAAGATTCAACATTCAAGGCTTTATTTTCATGTGCACATTAGCTACAGTGTAGTTATGGCAATGAAACACTTAAATCACAGGCTCCTTCAACAGTGCAACATGAATATATATAGGACATAAAACAAATGAAAAAGATAAAATAGTCGTGCAAGAGAATGTTTTTAATGTGCAAGTAAATACAAATAAAATACAATTCAATCGGTATTCAGGAATTTGCCGGAACCGAACCGGGATGCATGAATGCCTTTTTGTTCAAGCTTTGTCCTAGGGGACTTTAACTTTTTTTTTTTACTGTACTTTATTTGTAACAATTTCTTTAGTCCTTACTGAAAGTATTGTCTTTTCGGAAGGCTTAGTTTGAGGGTTGCCATGGTAATTGGTGTGAAGATCAAAGACATTATCGCTATAAGCAAGAAACTGATACTGGCACTTGTTTCAATAACAACATTTCTGTACATCTCTCTGACTGCTCTGTCTCTCTTTGTTTAGGTACGAGTATCTTCACTGTGTATGAGGCTGCATCACAGGAGGGCTGGGTGTTCCTCATGTACAGAGCCATTGACAGTTTCCCACGCTGGCGCTCCTACTTCTACTTTATAACGCTCATTTTCTTCTTGGCATGGCTTGTCAAGGTTAGAGCCATTCTCTCTCTAATGCACTTTTCATGATGCGTTCAGTTCCCATGACATGGCAGCAGGGGAAAGTTAAACACCAAAAGGTTTTATGCTAATTGACATAACCTAATCTTTCACCCACTGACATAATGAGTTCCCCTTGTTAGTAGAATGTTCTCTGGCTAATGAGAGAATGAATATCAGGTCACAGATAGTGAAAGGAAGTGAAGAAACGGACTCAACTTGCTCATTTATTTGTATTGTCACAACACTCTCTCACTGTCTGTGTTTCACTCTCTCTTTATTTCTCCTTTTCAGAATGTGTTCATTGCAGTCATCATAGAGACATTTGCTGAGATAAGAGTGCAATTTCAGCAGATGTGGGGGTCAAGGAGCAGTACAACCTCCACGGCTACAACACAGGTACACAAATTACACTCACACACACTCAAGGTGACAAAGTAATGCCACGTAGATGGAAAACTGTATGTGGTGCTTTGATCTTACCATTTATTTAACATAAGCTTTCTTTAAAGCTGGTCATCTGGGAGTGCAAAAAATGTGTCCATTCATCAGAGTTCAGCTCATCAAAGTTACATGAATTCAGAAGAGTCACAGGAATGAACACAAACTCGTTTTGACAGGAAGGGCTTTTTTAAGAGTGCATAGTCATCAATAAATGCCTTCAAAATGGGTAGCCTTAGGGTGCTGCAGATCTCTGCTTTGCTGGAAGAGGTGGAGAATGTCTGCTTTGGTGAATGCAGGATCGCATCTGAACATTCTGGGGTTCTTCTGGTTTTATCAGACCATTACAAACGGCTAGGTTTGAAACAGTTGGGAATGGGATGACAGTCAGTTCCTCCAATTATGAAGCCATGGAATTCCTCTTGTAATGCAAATGGTGGAGATCCCTCCAAGGTTAAATGTTTTTACTTGGTTGAAGAACTTCAGGTATCACATGGTTTTGTTCACAAGTAAGTAAATATAGCGAACGACTGACGAGCAGATACTTGTATTACCAACAGCCCAGGACTGTTATGGTAAAGAGCAAGCTGAGCCTGAAGGGTAAGCTCTAGATGTACCAATCAGTCAATGCTCTAAATGTCATGAGCTCTGGGCAGCAACTGAGTTCATTTGATTGAAGATGGAAGTGGCTGCAATTACATTATGTCTCTGGATGTGTGGGGTCACCCTGTGGGCCATGTAAAGGAGGTTGGACCTTTTCAAAGAGCTTGGAAAATAAGAATACTAAAAACATTCAGGTAGTATTAACATTCTTCCAAGTAAAATCTCTTTGGAAGTATGCTGGGCTGGTGTAACTGGAATAATACTCAGAACCTACTAGAGTGTGTGACTGGGGAGAAGGACATGTGAGCTTATCCCTGTTTTGCACAGCCTTATGTATCCTTATTTGATCCACCTCAGAAGCATTCATGTTGAATTTCTCCAAAAACACTTGAGATTAGATTGTCTGCATCCTTTTAAGGCGCTGACCATGAACCGCAACCTCCTAGGTTCAATCTGTCTAGGGACCTTTCTTGCATCCCTCCGTCATTTCCTGTCACTTATCCAGTGCTGCTATCTAATGAAGGTGTTGATCTTATAAAGAGTTTATTATTTTGATAAGCAATTTCCATTTCCATTTTTGAATAAGCTTAATTTTGTGCAATATAGATGTTACCCGCTGGCGGATATGGGTATAAATGGCAATTTATTTGGCGATTTTTTCAATCTGACTTCCTATTGACAATTTTTAACAACAGAGGGTGCTACATAACACAATTTCAGGAAAAGTCTGAATCGGAGACTTTAATATGTTATGGAAAATTATGTAGCACCCTCTGTTGTTAAAAATTGTCAATAGGAAGTCAGATTGANCCGACCCGATGCAGGACTCTGGTGTGTGTGTGTGTGTGTGTGTGTGTGTGTGTGTGTGTGTGTGTGTGTGTGTGTGTGTGTGTGTGTGTGTGTGTGTGTGTGTGTGTGTACATACCTGAAAGTAGGTGAACTGAGAGTGGTAGAGGTCAGGGTAGATGTGCAGTGTTGTGCCCACCACCAACAGAGATTCAAACTTGTGCAGGGAGGAGCTGATGTAGCCGGTGAAGCCCAGGCACCAGATTTTCAGAAGTGCTTCCAGGTCAAATAACACAGTAAAGGCAACCTGGGATAAATACAAAAATCGCAATCAGTTTGAGCATTTACTCCCTTGCCACCAAATTGTAGGTTACATACTCTTTTATTGTAGAGAATAATACTCTGTGATGAACGTTGCTTGATTAGGATCTGATTTGTCTTAAGGTCAGAGTCGATCTGTGCATTTACTTATTCAAGGCATGGTCTCGTAGTGGTGTTACTTACCTATAAGTACTCTATTTGGGTACATTTTCAATTGCGGTTCCTTTATTATTTTACTGTCTTAGTTTTTGGAGAAAACATTTTATTTTTTCTTCTACATTTAATTGCCAGCTATAGGTCCTTGTTAATTTGGAGATTCAGATTTAACAAGCTATTTATAACATGATGTCTCGTTACAGATCAATAGTTTAAAGAAGCTTAGCCTCCACCAGCTACAACACCTAATTGCAGTTTACATTTTGATGAATAGACAACTTCAGGGTTTTAACTTTAGCCCCTACCTACTGTAGTAGGATTTTGTGATTTTGGAGATCATCAGGATTTATTTTCTTAGCTGCATCAATTTTTGTTTTAAATCTATCCTTTGCTAGTTTCCAACTGTTTGTACAATTCTAAATCCTTGTAGGACTTATTTAAGTAAACCACCACTATCTTCAGCGGAGGGAAATACAGTAAGGAGGAAATAAACTTGGCACAACACCAATAAAACACGTATTTCTCCATTTCACTCTAAACACAGTGCCTCCATTTCCTATTTTCCCTTCATAGTCTCCACACGGATAGGAATACATCTGTAGATCGATGGCTGTATGATAGGAATAGAGGGAGTGAGAGAAGGTAATATAGAGACTGATTTGTTCCTCCCTTTTCTTATCTCCTCCATTCAGCTGTGAGAGAGAGAGAGGTATGAAGAGATGCTCCTCACTTTCATTGTTGGTACTTTACGACCTGCATACTGATGAGATCACACTAACCTGTATGACACATACAGCACAGTGTTCATAAATCCTAAACTGGCTGATATCCGGAAAAAGCATCATCCACTCAGATTAGGCAGGATTAAATTCATATTAATTACAGACCATGATATAACCATGAAGGGTGGTTCAAACAAGGACCTCTACTGTAGAGAAAAACACACTGTGTATTTGTCTTTTAACGAATAAAAGATGATCTCATACTGTTTATTTACCCTTCTGATAAAATAAATATAAAAATGAAGCTCTAAATAGAAGCCTAGGTCTGAGGATTTGTGGTCTGAAGATTTGTGTTATTGTGTTACAAAAAGGGGGTTTGAAGGGGACTTTTGAAGTAGTCAGAACAAAAAACAGGAAATGAAAATAAGAAAACAAAAACATCTCACCTCTGCCAGGTAAAACTCGTCATAGTGCCTGCGGTAGTTCTCGCCTTTATAATAGTTGCTAGCAGCAACAATGACGTCCACAGCGACCATGCTCAAGATGAACATGTGGAACACAGAGGACCGCATCAGTTGCTGTGGAAACAGAGCAGCTTTCAATTGCAATCAATGAAAATTGCACACAGGAGCAAAGAGGAAAGAAGAAGTGTGTAGAAAATCAACGGCCATTTTCAATTGTGAGCCAACAATACCATGATAATTAAGTGGAGCATTGAATGAGATAAATGATTATAGATATACATGTATAGCTTCAGGGATAACAGGATATAAGATAAATGAAGGATGTTCAGATATTGAGGGATAGAAAGAATATATATGTGGCGGCACAGACATGTGTTATTTCTTTTATGAGGTTCTGACTATATCCTAAACTTAAATGAAGAGGTGGAAATAGGGATATAGGGACAGAAACTAAACTGCATGAAATTCAAAGCAATCAGGAGCCTTTCATTGGCTGCTGGGAGAAACATCCACCCAGACAGCAGAATCAGTGTGTATTCAGAGAGCCGGAAACAAGAAAGCAAAGGGGCAATACACGTATGTTATTTCCTGTGGGAGCAGCAGATGCATTGAACGCCTACAACAACATCACATAATAGAAACAATCATGAATTTAAAGAATGCGAGGGAAACTCCCCTGCAAAAAATTCTGACAAAACATGCCCTCATTTAGACAAACACTGTTACTGTGTGTTCATTTGGTTACAATATGACAGATGTGATCACAGCCTTGAACTGCACGTATGTGGCATAATGAACAGATTGTGAGTGGGTAGAATAGCGCACCCTAAAAAAAGATTTGCATGTGAGACTGGTAATGGGAAGGATTGAAAAAGTCAAAAAATGCGAGGAAAACTTTAAGACGGATGAAGAGTGTTTCTCAGCGTTGCTTGAAAGATCAAATTCACCCCAGGCAAATGGGACCACCGCCAGCCACCCTCCTACACTCAAACACACTTACAGTACACATTTGTTCAACTCTAGAAAGCCTGGTGTGCAATTGGTGCTTTGAAACCAGTGATTGTGATGAAATGACTAGATAAGTTGCCTGACGTTTTCTCAAGTATTGCTTTTTCAAAACTGTTGCCATATTTGCTAAAACTAATCGCAATATCATAACAGCAGAGCATGAGACTTCAACAGGAACATGTTTACATTAAGCCAAAACCTACTGGCCAGAGAAAATGTTCTTAATTGAAAGATAAACAGTACACTTAAATGTTTCTGAAAACAGGTAAGGTAAAAGATAGGCAATACAGTTGCAGAATTTATATTTATATTTAAGATAAACATTGTCCTGTTTAACTGTTTGATCCGAGTTCACCAGCAGTGATTGACACTGTGTAAGATACTCCTCTGCTCTGATTGGATGTTCTCCTTCAGACGTGCTTGAATTTTGCAAATGGAATAAATATCAGTTTACTTTCGACTGAACGAAAATATAAGTAGCTCTTTAAGAGAATGCAGCTTTTAAAAACTCCCAGCATGAGCATCACAGGTTGGGAAACTCTGTAGCGTCTTCAAGAGATACTTAATAACCAACACGATTTTAAAAGGTAATTCTTTGTCTTTAAACACTGTAACTATTGCTTTGTCTGCCCTCTTGTTGTCTAATCATCTTAGTTTATAAATCATTCGAGTCATTTTTGTCTTAAATGTGGATTATTGGCATCTTAAGCTCTGCCTGTACACACACAGTGGTAGGCCTCCCTGACTAACAGTGGACGTGACAAAGCAGTTTGACATTTCCAGCAACCAGACTCTCTCCCCCGTGGGTGTTTTGGCCGAACAGAGTTGTGTGATAGTGTGTGTGATAGTGTGTGATAGTGTGCGTGAGGCAGGGAGCTAGAGAGATAGAGGCAAACTGACAGAGAACAGAAAGTAAATGTGTGTGCGTATGAAACGGTTGATTTTCTCAAGGTCCTGACTTTGCCCATATTCTGTCAGCTCTTGGGAATCGCACTGCTAAGAAAAGCCGGAGAGCTAGTTGGAGAGCAGTGTGCATCGCTAACCTCTGACAGATGGAGATACAGGCTGCCTATCCAGCTCCACCACAGAATCACATTTTAATCCTTCCCTTATATTCCCTTTTTTATTCCAAATTGGCTTAAGATGTGCCACCCTGTTGCTCCAAAGGCGAAAGGGCCTGGTTTTCCCAATTCAGTGGATGGTACTGGCACTCCATATTTGGCCTCTAGATGACAGAATCAATTTACCAGCATCAATGTGGGACAAGATGGCTCTCCCCTGCTGTTTGATGTTTCTTA